TGAGAATCGACTATGAATACTACTCTATGATTCTAGGCCAGTATTCAGTCGAGTCTTTATTTCAAGATCATCTTAAATAATGTCTTAAGAATTTTCTGATTGATTGATTTAGACTTAAGACAGTCTTGAATATAAGATCTGACTTCGAATATCGGTCCTAGCGTATATATTTTGTTTCTGATTAGTTAAGTAATGAAGTGCGAATTAAAAATGCGGAATAAGACGTAAATGATTGCAGAATTAAACGATTCAAACAATCACAATATTACGTCTATTTTCTTTTTTTTTGTTAAAAATATTACGTATACATTACGCGGATTTTGTAACAAAGAGTTATTACAAACTATAGTTATCGTGTATTGTAACAATTTGAAATATATATATATCTAAGATACCCATAGCACAGAAAGATTGCAAAAACATTGCAGAATCATTTCACTGAAACATTGCATGGTGGTTGCGAAACGTTGCTGCAAGATTCCAACAATGTTAAGATGTCGCTTTTTGCAATATTGTAATGAAAGCAATATTGCAATGTAATGTATTTGGATAAATTTTTTACGAAAACTCTAAAATGAAAACTATTTTCTGTACATATCTCACTTCAGTTTTTCTACAAATCGCATTTCTAGTGATAAGTACTTTTCAAAAGCAATTTTTTATGATAAAACCATAAAATATTTCAATAAATGTAATATTAATTCTGAAGGATAAATTTATTCCCAAGGATAAAGCATGTATATGTGTACTCCGAGCAAATATTATCAACCACAAATATTATCCACATTAACATAATAATATAATCGCTTGATAAGTTAATCATGAATTAAATTAATTGCAATGATTTTTTTCAATTCGAAACCACTCTGAATCAATTGAAATCGATTAAAAAACGATGACGGTATGAAATACCGTCGACGATTTGTCAATAAAGTTCGGGCGCTGATTTATTTCTACATGCATTAGCCATAAATACATCATCGATCACATAATTAATATTTCGATAAATCGTTTTCAACAGCTTACTTGCTTACTTGCTTATCATCTTATCCGATAATAATGTTGATTGTATCCAAACTCAATATTATATAATCTTTTGATTTCATATTCAAAAAATATAAAATTTAGCTAATGGCCGTCAAATGACCGTCAAATAATAGATTAATAAATTTTTTTATTTGAAATATAAAAATGGATTATATTATATCATAAATATTATATCATAAATTATATTATATCATAAAAACGATTAAACTATTAAA